AAATAAAGAAAAATTGGGCAAAAAATATTTTTTTTTTAAATTTTTATTTTCTTTACTTCTTATTTTTTTCAAAGCGCATTTAAAATATGAAAGTATCATGTACTACTTCATCAAAAAAAAAAAATGCCCAATTGGTTTTTCCCTTTGAACTTTCTCTTTAAGACATCAATTAATATACATATTTAATGTACATATATGAAAATTAATATTTATGGGCGACATTTTATTTTAAGGATCTGTTAGTCATATCTATAGATATACATAACCATATTTAATAATTATATAGTTGAAATAAACTTAAACCAGTTCATTATAGTTTAAGTGAACTTAAAAGTTAAAAAGTAGTTAAAAAAGGGTAAAATAAACCAAAAACTACCAAATATTAACTTCTTGTTAAACAAAAGGTATATTAACCAAGAAGTTACATTTAACTAACATAACGTTAATTTTACCATAATTGAATTCCCCACTTATTACAAAATACCGTTAATTTAAGGTTAATTTAACGTTGTAGTACAATATTACTTAAATGAATTAACCAGACATAACGTAAATTTAACGTTAATTTAACCAGTTGTGCTACTTGGGTTAACTTTTAATGCTGAATTTAAAAATATCAACAAACATTTTTTTTTATTTATGAGTTTATTACCCTTGGGCATTTTTAGTCCCATTTTTTTTCAATTTGGCTGCAGTATTTTTCTACGTAAAAAGTAACTTTTGTTAAACACCCATAAAATGCACCATTTTCGAATAAAAATAAAATAACAAATTAAAAAAAAATATTTTTCAATTTAATGTATTTAACAAGAAATTTTAATAAAAAAATACATATATATTCCGAAAATACATTATTTTATCTAAATCCGCCTTTTTAGTTTCTTTAGTTTTTTAGTTTCATCATAATTCTATAGTTCCTTTTTAGTTTATTTTTAGTTCCTTTAAAGTTCCTTTAAAAAAGTTTTTTTAGTTTCTTTTTAGTTCCTTTTTGGTTCCTTTAGTTCCTAAAGAAACTAAAAGGGAACTAAAAAAAACTAAACAGGAACTAAAGGAACTATAGAATCTAAAGTATTTTCTTTAAAAGAACTTTAAAGGAACTAAAAAGGAACTAAATGAACCAAAAAGTAACAAAATAGGAACCAAAGGAACTAAAATAGAACTAAAGGAACTAAAAAGGGGCTAAAAAGAAACTAAAGAGGAACTAAAGAAACTATAGTTATAAAGAGGAACTAAAGAAACTAAAGGAACTTTTTAGTTCCTCTAGGTCCTTTAGTTTCTTTTGAACTAGAAGAGATAAAAAGGAACTAAAAAAGACATTAATGGAAATAAAAATGAACTATGGACCTAAACAGGAACTTAAAGAACCAAAGAAGCTAAAGGAACCAAAAAGTAACTAAAGGAACTAAAGAAACTAAAAAGGGTCTAAAAAGGAACTAAAGAAACTAAAAAGGAACTTAAGGAACTAAAGGAACTTAAATGAACTAAAGAAACTAAAGTAACTAAAAAGGAACTAAAAAGAATCTAAAGAAACTAAACTAAACTAATTCCTATGTTCATATAAAGTCTTTCTAATTTGGGTTCTAAAAATCGCTTGTAGAATATTGCACACCATTTTCGGGACACCCTGTATATATTATACAGTGTATCCGCTTAAGTTCTACATATGGGAAACTTTTTACGAAAAAAGTTACTCTTTATAAAAAGTTCTGCTTCCTGAAAAAATGTTATTAAACTATTAATTAAAACAGGGTATATCCTGTATGTACATACTAATTCAAGTTATTTATCCTATACGATAATTTAAAAATGGCCCAAGAAAGAACTTTGTTATTATTAAATTTACAAATAACTCTCTATAAAAAGTCTATTAAAACTTACTGCTATGCTATTTTAAGTTTTAATAGTTTAATATTACTTTTTATGGAAGCAGAACTTTTTACAAAAATTTTGTTGGTAAATTAATATTAATAATAAAAAAGTTTTCCATATGCAGAGAACATACGCAGACACACTGTATATAAAATTTGTCAGAAACTATTTATTTATAAACCTTTGAATATTGTATCTTCTCAATAACAGAAGTTCAAATGTATATATTTCTAATCGAAATCAAACATGTTGTCTTAATGCATATTAAATTACTCAAATAAGGCAGTATCTTTTCTAAGCTGTCAAGATTTAAATGTGTTTGAAGTGTTTTAAAAACGGTAGATAGAAAAACTGAGAGGCATTGTTTATAGGTGTCATGTCAAACGAAAACATTTATTGGCCTCAGACTGACGCCAATATCAATGGTCCTTCATTTCAATGCCTTTTGACCTCACCCCTAATACATAATGACAAGTTGAAATGTTATATGGGCGGGGAAAATTTTACTACTATTCAAGTGTACCACAAGTAAGTCCACTATACATTTTTGTGCAATACTTAGATTTTATGAAGGACCAAATGGGTTATTTTAAAAATGATTATTTTTTACTTATAAGTGCACTGGACCAGTGGTGGATTCGGGGGAAGTGTTAGAACCCCTAAAATTAAATAAATCAAAAAATTATACCAAATCTACCTAATAGGCGCTACCTACTTACTCATTTAATAAACATAAAAAAATATCAATATAATCTACAAGTAATCTAAAAATAAAAGTTTTAATTATTTTGTCTAATATTTTGATTTATAACATCTAATATTTGGAGGTAGCCCATAATTAAACGTACTTATATAAGGAAAATAACGAACACTAACATCTAAAACTTTGACATAAGGAATGTGTTTGAGGGCTCACGAATCTGTTTTTAAATACAGGGTGGCTCAAAAGTTGAGTGGAATATTGAGTGGAACTTTTGAAATATCAAAAATATTAAAAAATGATATTAATAAAAGTTGTTTAATAGTTTATTTCAAATTTTGCGGTGATATTACCAACTTAAAAAAATAAATACGTAGCCCCCAAAGAGGGCCAACTTTTTTTAAATAGTAATTACTAAAAATGGGGTTAATCCCCTAAAAAATAATGGTTAAGAGTGCACATCAAAAAATGCAATGAAAGCAGGATAACTTTTCTGGATCCGCCTCTGCACTGGACTAATATATTATAGTAGTCTATATATATATATATATATAGCAAAATTTGATTTTAAGAATCTTCTAAGAAGATATGACCCGGAATAATGGAATATTCTTAGAAGCTTTCCTTATTGCTAAGAATGTTCTTAGGGACTTTTAAAACATTCAATAGATACCCTTTTAATGATGCAATTAGATTCTTAAAAGCTTCTTAAAACCTTCTTAAAAAGCATCCCAAGAACATTTTAAGAATACGTTTTTGGAATGTTCTTAGAAGGTTTCTTATGGAGCTTCTAGGAAGCTTTTGAGAATATTCCCAAATATGTCAGATACCCACGTTCTAATATGTTGTATTCTACATTCGTAAAATTCTTCAGGAGACGACAAATACGCCTCACTGTCATATTATAACACTAAAATGTATTTGTCGTCCCCTTAAAAAATTTTGCGACATATTAATATATTTATTTAAAAATATTAAATAATCAATTTGACCTCTAAACCATAAGTTGTATGACATTATTTCATAAAAAGTAAAATTGTAAAATTTTGTGGGTTAAGTCAGATTAGATTGAAGTTGAAGATAGTTAGGATTATTATACATAAAAAATCGGTATACAAATTAATAAATATTTATTTTAACATAAAATAAAATACCTATAGTAAAAGTATTTTTGTTATCGAATATTGTTTTAATTTAACAAATAAGTATAAAAAAATATTTTGGATTGTGTTTTTTACTTAATATTTAATACTAATTACTAATTAGGTACTTAAGTATGGGTATAAGTATACCCAGAGTATACCTACAGTGTAGGTCCTACACGAATGTAAAGTAACATTTCTGTGTGAAAAGTGACAGGTCTGTGTGAAAAGAAATTGACAGCATCGTTTGACATTCGTTTCAAATTTTGTATTGTATTAAAAATGTATGTCTAAATATTACTTAGAACACAATTTATTGTGTTTGTATAATAAATTCTAGGTTTTAGTGCCTTTATTTTAATTGAGAAGGTAAGTTTACTGATTTTAAGTAACTTATACCTACCTTAAAAATTAAAAAAATAAGATGAAAGAATTTTAACAGCTGTCAAACACGTTTTTAGGTTATTTGTATTTGAATATAATAAAAAATAAAAGGGTCGGAGAAAAAACATTGTGTTTCACTTGTGATAAAAGCTTTCTTCAAGCTCGTGTTAATGCACACTCGGCCTGACGGCCTCGTGGGCAACTTAAACACTCGTATGAAAAAGTCGCTTTTCAACACTTGTAAAACAAATTCTATAGCAATTACTTTCTTAACATTCTAAGCATATGTAGACATAGTAGACTAATTTTTACCACCAGTAAGAATATTCTTAGGATCATGCTATATTTCTTTTTAGCATGTTATTTAGAAGAAATATAGCATGATCCTAAGAATATTCTCACTGGAAGGTTTAAAAAACATTCTAAGAATAAAGTGTGTTCAGAGTGAAATTATATTTAGTAAATACGAGATTTGAATAATTTTGAGCAAAATCTGATAATTTTTAAAAACCAAAGCGACAAAATTATTTTTTTTTCGCGTGCTCGGAATTGTGCTCAGGCACTCACCAAACCCGCCTGAGCTACGTATAGAACCTTTTTCTGCATCTAGCAACACAGCCCTTAGATGATAACTTAATATGTTTGTAATAAAAATATGGACACTTACCTACCTACAAAAGGTGTATTTTTACGTTTCTATTAATACCTACAACTTCTTCCCACAAAATAAAGATATAAAATAGATAAAAATGGCATTGTTTGGATTGGCGCATAGGATTAACTATGAATAATTTGCATTTTCCGCATGGGGATGTTATTGAAAAACTTCCCGCTGAGTTTGACGCATTGAAAAATCGTATAAAACTCCCGGGCGATTTTAAAGAATTATCATTTACAAATCGAAAATGAACGCGACATCCAAAGTGAACTGTGCAATTCTCCTTGCGCTTATTGTTCTGCTGGAAGTGGTCTTCAGTGCCCCACACGTAAGTATTGCTTATATATACAGGGTGCGAGATATTGTTCAAGCCCCAGACAACATTTGATGGTTTTCAGTATGAGGAAAAAACTGTAGATGGTGAGAAGAAAATGCGTCCACTATGGTTTGGACCCAGATTGGGAAGAAGGAAGAGGAATCCTGGTGAGGATGCATACAGAGAGCAAGATCAGAAAAATCAGGTTGAAAATTTGCTGGAAACACTTCAGGATACACCATGGGCAATTGTTGCCATCAATGGTAATGTCTATTCGCAAACGCTTGCAGGAGTACTTTCATTTCAAACATTCATTCACAATATCATTTGTAGATGGTAAACGGCACGTATCCAGCTTCACACCTAGGCTAGGAAGGGACAACTACGAAGACTTCCCGTACGAAAACTACCCCGGGATCGAGATTTTCGAAAGATCTCCATGGACTCCACGATTGGGACGAAGCCCAGCACTCTTCGGGCCCAGATTGGGACGACTGACAGAAAAAATGTAATCATCGACGACTTGATGTAATCATGACTTTTAAGACTTAATATATAATATATATATACATGCATTATTTTTAATTTATTTGTATGGGTAAATAAAATAAAATAGTAATATTCTGCATATATTTGGTTTGATATGCAATACATTTACATACAATGAGTAATATCATATAAAAAATAACTTGTGGCTCACAAATATGTCTAAACTTCTATTAAAACATAATTTTTTACAATAAATAACATTTTAATACCATGTTGTATCCACAGGATTGATTAGTGAATTGTATAATATTCAGATTTGGTCAAAAAATTAAGGTATTATTGGCCATTTAAATCACATATAGGTAATGCTTGAAGCGCGTGTGAACGTTTTTTATTTATTTAAATACATAAGAATGTTAAAGCCAATGATCACAAATAAAGTTTAAGTAGTAATAACGAACGAAAAACATTTAAAAAGTACAGTTAGGAATGATCTCGTTTAAAATAATCTTTTTTCGTAGCTGAAAAGGCTGTGTACGTTTCCTTCCATCTGAGCTGAATTTGATCTCAATTCAAATCTTAACTCTCCAGAATACATCATTACCCTGCAAAAAGTCAAATGTCAGTATTTTCTCTATTTTGTGAACAGTCTAGTAGTACCTAAGATCTTTAAGTGATTTGGTTCCAATATCCTGACAACTGTGTCTGATGCCGCATTGTAAGTATGGTACAAATCTTAGTACTGAGCCTTTGTCTACAATACTTCCACTTACTCCTTGGGCCACCTTAAGCTTGTCAACCTCACTGAAAAAACATGTTTACATTAATCTATCCCATTTATGCATAATAGTACTTACTTATGGAAATATCTGCTCATAGCAGAGCCCATGGCATCCTTCTTATCCATGGCCTCAATACTTCCCATACCTCTGTACTTCTTGAGCCTTACACCATCAGAGAAGAAATACTCGCCAGGGGCTTCGGAAGTTCCAGCCAAAAGCGAGCCCATCATGACCGTGGAAGCTCCCAAAGATAAAGCCTTAATGATGTGGCCTATGGACTGAATACCTCCATCGGCGATGACAGGTACGCCGTACTGTTTGGCGTACTGAGATACTTTGTAGACCGCGGTGGCTTGAGCTCTACCGACGGCCATTACTTCTTGAGTGATGCAAATGCTGCCACTGCCCATACCGACACGCAACGCGTCTGCGCCTGCGTCAATTAGGTTTTTGGCTTGTTTTACCGTGACGACGTTACCCGCGATAACTTGGAGGTTGGGATATGTGGTTTTGATGAATTTGATCATGTCGATTTGGTAGATGGAGTTGCCTTGGGATGAATCTAGAACGACTACGTCAACACCAGCTTGAGCTAGGAGTGCCAAACGAGCTTTATCGTCTTCCCTGGTACCAATAGCAGCTCCAACGATCAATTGTTTGTTATCATCCTTTGAAGCGGTGGGGTAACTTTTGGCCTTCTTCAAATCAGTACGCGCCATTAACGCAATCAAATTACCCTGGGCGTTTACAATGGGCAATTTACCCTTCTTACTCTTCTCGAGAATGGCGTTAGCTTCAGGTAGTGTAACACCTGATTGGGCTGTAACCAAATCCTCCAACTTGGTCATAATGCGCTCGATTTTCACCGTACCGCTACCCTCCTCATCCAAAAAGTCAATATCCCTCGACGTGACAATACCGACCAATTTACCGCCAAGTTTGCCATTATCTGTAATTGGAACACCGCAAAAACCGTGCGATTTTTTTACGTTCAGCACATTTTCAACAGTGTTGGTTGGAGATAATACTACAGGGTCGTGTATGAAACCGTGCTTGTATTTTTTCACCTTGAGCACTTCATTGGCCTGGTAGCTCGGCAAACAGTTGTGATGGATAATACCAATACCTCCACAGAGCTAAAAATTTTGAAACCTAAATTGTTTGTGGACAGTTCAGAAATCCTAAAAGCTATGACCTTGAGATTTAAGAGCTTTAAAGATTTTTGAGGTATTTAAAAATGAAGTATTTACCGCCATCGCGATGGCCATGTCCGACTCGGTGACAGTGTCCATTGGTGATGAGACAAGTGGAGCTTTGATGTTGATTTTTTTGGTTAAAGGACTGGCCAGGGTGACTTGGTCGGGTGAGAAGTCAATGTAGCCAGGCAAAATGATAAAATCACTGAAATTTTGTTATATATTTAGAACGCCCTGTGTTTTATTCTACACTGCCCGTCAAAATTAATGCATAATAAGTAAAAAAAAATTAACTCTAAAACGCCTTTACCAATCTTTATGAAATTTTTTATAAAAATCAGTGGCGGCTGGTGGATTTTATTTATACCAATATCTCAGTTATTTGACATGGGACCCACACCAAATTTATAATAGTTTATAATGACATTAAATAAACAAGTTCGGCGCAAACAGAATTTAAATTGAAGTTTGCCTCCAGGCCCCCCTATTTAAGATAATTCAAATTAAAGTGGTGCAATTTATTATCTACTATAGTATTATATTATATATAATTTATCGAAAAATTTAAAATTTTAATTAAAAAAAACAAATATTACAGGTTTTATACCATTTTAAATATTTTTTTATTTTACAAAATAAATAATAAAAATTTAAAATTGAATAAAATCTATAATATTTGGATTTTTTTAATAAAGTTTTAAATTTGTCGATAAATTATAGTAGATAATAAATTGCACCCCTTTAATTTGAATTATCTTAAATAGGGGGGCCTGGAGGCGGGTGAGGCAACAGGAAAAACTAACTTTTTTTCGCAAACTTCAATTTAAATTCTGTTTGCGCCGAACTTGTCTATTTAATGTCATTATAAACTATTATAAATTTGGTGTGAGTCCCATGTCTAATAACTGAAATATTGGTATACCCAAAAAATACTTTAACTTATATCTCAGTTTACGTGTTCAAGGGTTTTTCAAAAAAATATTTTTAAAGCCCATTAATTAAATAATAAAAAAACGTTCTAAAAATAACTTTTAGAGAATTTTTTTAAGTAAATTAAAAATATGGTGTTAAAGACCGTATTTTTGTTAGTATATCCTAAAAATTTTGTACAAATCAAATGAACAGAAACAAAGATACAGCGCTTCAAAGTCGGTAAAAATTACCCCTTTTTTGCTGAAAAATTTTCATTTTTGAGTCAAAAATGAAAATTTTGACGACTTTGAAGCGCTGTATCTTTGTTACCGTTCGTTTGATTTGCACAAAATTTTTAGGGTATACTAACAAAAATACGGTCTTTAACACCATATTTTTAATTTACTTAAAAAAAATTCTCTAAAAGTTATTTATAGAACTATTTTATTATTTAATTAATGGGCTTTAAAAATATTTTTTTAAAAACCCTTGAACACGTAAACTGAAATATAAGTTAAAGTATTTTTATACAAAATTTCATAAAGATTGTTAAAGGCGTTTTAGAGTTAGAATCTTTTACGTATTATGCGTTAATTTTGACGGGCGTGTATTATTTGGTATAATTCTGTTTGTTTGTAATAAGGACATGGTAGATTGTATTATCTTTTCCAACAAACAATTGAAGAAATACTATTTCAAAATATTTTATGCATAAACAAAGTTTTTAAAATAAATATTGTAACAACAAATTGTGTAACAAACTGTTCATTACGCGTAATTTGCGTTGCCTAATCTAATATGATTGGTCAAAATTAAATTTAGAAAAATGTGCTTTTTTTTCATTGTGTTTACTCAAAAAAGTTGTGTAACTTTAATTTTTGTTTTTTAATCAAAACGAAGAAAATTGTGTTGTAATTGTTTTCAATTTTGTGATACCTATATATAAAAAAATGGGATACAATTTAAATTAACTAAATTAATAATCAATACTTGAAGTCAGGGGGATTGCATAATTCCAGGGGTGTACATATATGTATGTAAGTTATTTTGAATAGATGAAAGACAAAAATTAGAAATTATGTGTTCATAAAAGAACATAATTTTTCGATTTTTAATTGGTTTAAAAATAAATGCTATTTTTCTTTGTTTTTTTTTAATATAGTTAAAAATATAGCAACTTACTTATAAGTTAGACCATTTCCCATGTTGATCATTTCAGTAGCTGACATACCATCTTGTAAATCGTCGTTCTTTGGTTGTTCCATTTTGACTAAAAAACCGTTCTTAGTTTTATTTATTTATCAAAACAAATAACATAATATGAATAAGCATACTTTTTTAGTATACCCTTAAGTAAGAGTTCTTTAGAGTTGCCAGAAATTAAATTTTCACATTTAGTATTATTTCACTTTATTAACGATTGTGTGACATTTGACAACTGTCAACTAACTTAAAGCTTACTTCAGCCCGTGACTAAAGCGCCATAAAGCCATAGCTTGTCAATGTGTATTTAAAAGATCAGGTTTTAAAGGTGGGGAAAGAAAAACATACATTTGTTAAATTAAAATAAATAAAGACTTAAATAGTATTGATTAAATATTATATTTAGAACAGGACTCAATAAATACAATAATATATATATATGCTAAAACTCTGAAATATAGAAGATTTTGCTTCTATATTTAAGGAGCATAGAAGATTTTCTTTGATATAGAATACTTTTATTAAATATAGAAAACCTGGCAACCCTAGAGTTATATGACTTGGACCATTTTAAGCACCATGGTGCTAAGTAAGCATTGCTAACATTATATTGTTTTTAACTTGAACAAATAATATAACATTTTTATATAATAACAGTAAACAAACAGGTGTAGGTAATTGTTATAATAATTACACCTCTTTCTCGTTAATTTAACTTTTTTCAAGAAAAGTTTATGATTTTAATGTACCATTAATAAAATTTTAAAACTATAAAATAAAAACAAAAAGTCGAAGAAAATCACTACAATCTTACCTAATTAAACAAATAACGCTTATAAGTATTCGCCGATTTAAAAAGTAATTCAATTATACACACACAAGTCTACAAAAATAACAATAAATACTGATTCGTATGGATAAGATCTTAAATTTCAGTAAACAGTAAATTTTTAAACCAGCAATTCAGCGAAATTCTTTAATACTTACATGTTTATTTCACACACACTATTCACACGTGGTAAAAAAGTGAGGTTATAGTGGTGAAAAATCAATAACTCTAATAATCAATTGCAGCAACAACTGTTCAAAAAACGTGCAGCTGTAAAATTTGCGTTGTTGGAATTTGCGGGAAACGTTATTGCAACAAACTGTTGCCTTTAAAAGCAAGTGGTAACTGAAAATATCGGAAAAGTCGCCGCTTTGAGCACTTGTCTTTCTTTCTCTGCGAAGCGACGTTGCCGTCTCAATTTGATCGTTAATTTACACCACAATCCATTGTGATTTACACTATATAATTCAATTATATATATATAATTCAATTAACGATAAAAAGTTAGTTAATTGGAAATGCTGTACAAGCTATAACGTTGCCTTTATAGTTTGTAATGTTTTTGTTAATAATAATAATTCACTGTGAATGACTGCAACACTGTAGCCTTAATAGAGGCGCGAAATTTATTATTAAAACCTTACAATAACACTTAAAATTTTCTTAATAAATAACTAGTATTTACCTTCCAAACAATCTATTTATATTTTTGATGTTTCTGCAATAAAATAATCTTGACTACTGATCCAAAATTTAACTTTCCTTATCATTAAAATATATATTTTGGCCTTGACAGTATGTACCAAAGAATTATTCTATTTAATTTGTTTGGGAATGGAAAATAATTGCATATTGTGTTATTGGCTTATGCTTAAGTATTTTAATTGTTCATTCACTTGTTATCTAGTTTTGTCAGTCAACTTAAAAAAATGTACTCTAGGCAAAATCGAGTAAACATATTTTGACCACCAACTATTTTCATTTAGCAAGATACTTTTTACTTTTTGACATCATCTTTTCAAGGTGAAATTTACATTAGGGTCATTTAAAAGTTAACTTTGTAAATGCCTTATTAATGCAAGTTTGTTTTTTTGGATGAAATAATTTATTGGCATTATTGATCTTTAGTTATGTGCCCTGCCGACTTGTCTCACTATTATCTGCCTTCTAAATGTGTAAATCTTACTTTGGTATAATTTGGCAAGGTTATGTTGTTAATTTAGTAAATTAAATTTACAGAATGCATAACCTTGGAAAAATAGGGTTAAGTAATATACATAGACTGCGCATGAGCAGATGAAATTAGTAAAACCATATAGGTGTAAAAGTAAAAAAAAATTGTCGGATTCATACGAAAACAAATGCATTTTTAATCTATATAATATAATTTAAATCACAATTTGTTAAGTAGAATAATAATAAAAAAACTGTAACTGCCGATGAATATGTTGCCTAATTTTCGAATTAAAAAAAATCGTTACAATGAGACTCGTATAAATACATATGTAATTATTTACATAAAAAAGTAGTTGAGGTTAGGGTCAGATCATGTCCCTCACACAGTCCGTGTCGAGTTCTAGTATTAAACAGCGCATGAACGCCATTTCCTTGCGCGCGTTGTCGAACATTGTACGCGGGTCGCTCGCCATGCACCTCAAGCAGTTGGGCGCAAAGACCATAGCCAAGTTCGAGGCGTCCATTTTGGTGTGCTGAATAACGTCGGGTTTGTTGAACGTCTGCAGGAACCGTATCAAGTAACACAGCACCAATCGGTGCAGTGTGGGCAAGCGCAGAACCAAGTCGCAGGCTCTTCTTGACGTCATGGGTTCCGCTACGCACTCCGGGTAGAGAGAATCAGGTATCAAAGGTTCGTACAACTCTCTAAGCCAAAGCTTAAGCAGATTCGCCGGCACGTGTGCGTCGCTGGCCTCGCTGATCTCCCACTTGTCCATCTGCGCCTTCAATCGGTTCACTTCGTCCACATCGGCCGATACGCGGAATATCCCCTCCGTCGTCAAACCTTGCAGCTTCAAAACTTGCTGCGACAGCTCCACCTGCGGCCATGGTAACCTATTGTTCGGCCAGCGCGATGCCTGCAGCTGCATCACCTCGCGTAACGTGTTGCCGAAGAGACTAGCTTGGAATATTTGTTTGCGCGCAGATTCTATGTCGTCCATTTGGGGGCGGCGCGCGCAGCGCTTTCCACCCGCACCGATGCGCTCCAACCTCTGACATGCCACCGTTGCGTAGTGGTTAACCTTAAACAGGTTTTGGTAATTTAGCAAATAGGACCAATTAACTTTTTGACCTTGCATTGTCATAAAGGACGATGCCAGGTCAAAAAGGTTCTATTTGCTAGATATCTTGGTTTTACATTTTAATGTGTGTTATGTTCATAATTGAAAAAGGACAACTTTGGTGATATGTTAAACAAGTATTAGAAGTATACCCCAAAACAAAACACAAAGTGCTTAAAGTACTTTTCGTCAACGATGGCGAAAAGTACTTTTTCTACTCCCACCTTTAAAACGCCCTTTATCGTACATGTTTCCATGACACTAAGTGACCTTTTAAATACACATTGACAAGTTGTTGCTTTACGGCGCTTTAGTCACGGGCTGAAGTTAGTTGACAGTTGTCAAATGCCTTTCTTGTAAAATAATACTAAATGTGAATCACAATACAAAAATACAAAAATATTAAATAGTTTCTCAACGCCAATATTTGAAAAGTTTATATGAACATTGTACTGACCTTTTAATTTCGCCGGCAGTAAACTATAACTTAAATTCGGGCACGGACTCTACTGTAAACTCCTCATAAAACATTTCCTTAACTTTCACTGTGAAAAACTGTCAATTTTCAAGATAAATTTCGATTTATAACCTTTATAATTGTGTTTATAAAATGTAAAAATGTGACATTTGACAGTTTCCCCTGTTGTTTCATAGATGGCGCTCTATACAAATTTTTGATTTAAATCATTTTAAGATAATAATAAGTATTTGTCGTAGAAAAAGTATAGTATGCACCTCGTTTATAAACTTTTCTATACACTCATTAACTTAAGCACTCGCTGGCAAGCTCGCTCGTGCCTAAATTAAATTCGTGTATAAAATGGCGTTTATCAAACTTGATACATAATATACTATTAAGCACTTTGTGTTTTGTTTTGGTGATGGGGAATATTTCTAATAGGCATTTGTGTTTTATGTTGTTGCAGACTCACCTGTACATGTATGGGCCATCGGTTGACATCGGGGAAAACCCTGGAGAACGTGGGATCCCTGTGACGATTCAAATACCCTAGCAGTGCCGGCTGAAAAACGGGACTAGGCGGCACGAAAGCTAAAGCAATGGTGAGTAACTCCCATCCTCGTAGTAGCGACTCCTTTCTGGGGTTCTCCGTGGTCTGTCTGCACAGCTGCACGAATAGTTCGTCGCGCAGCAATGCTTGCGCGTGCGCAGTGCCCAGTATCTCCATCAGAAGCGAGTTGAGCGAGATTCCGGGACGGGCTTTGCGATCGCCCATATACATTTGTACTTGTCGGAACATGTCTAGAGCTTGCCGCGCTACGGGCTTGCTGGAGGCGAGCAGCGGGCGCTGCAGGCTGCGCGCGGACCAGCTGAGTAAGTCCCTGACGCTGGCTTTGCGTCTGAATAAACCTCTGCCGCCTAGGTTCAGGTTGTCGGCGGCGAATTTTTCCATGTCCGCTTCGCGTTCGGGTTGCATGGGCGGCTCGGCCAAAGGCTTCATGAGGATCGGAGCTGGCGGACGTTCTTTTGTGTTGCAGGTGGCATCGTTAGTGGACGATGTGGGCAAGTTTAAGTATTCGACGGGTCTGTGCGATAGTCTGTGAGGTAGATAGCTACCTTCTGATTGATCAGAGTCCTCATTGTCAGGCTCGTGACCTGTCAGAGATTCACTGCCGGAGTCTGAATGATCCGAGTCAGAGTCGCGGCTGTTGTTTAAGAGAAAATGCTCAAGCGGTAAAAAATGCGTATCATGCCAGTTCGAGTATAAAGGCGCTTCGGCGCCGCGTTGACTAAAACTACTGCTTCTTATTAAATCACTAGATTTACGTCTAAGCTGTGGAGTGCTGGCGGATAAGCTCAAAACTTGCCCCCTTGCCACCAAATCGCCGGTTTGTGTACCCTGATTGCTGGTCTGTGCAGGGGTGCAATCAGTGTTGTGTTTTAAAGTTTGCAGCTTTGCTAGAGGTATTATATCACAATTAGTGGGTTTATGCCATACTGTTCTTTGTGATGTTGCGTTGTAATAGTAAAATCGTGCTGTGTTTTGATCGAATAGCTCCCACCACTGATTCGAGTCCGTCCGTTTGACTGGCACCCCTTCCGGAGGGTCCCATACACATTCTCCCGTAGCCAAATTGGCATACATGTGCTCCTGTGTCCTTGGCTCTATTATTTCCACCCATTCCACCCTGAAACACATTTTCAAACTTACATGGGGCGTGTCAATTGTATATTGATTATGTACCTGTATGAATTAGAAGCCATTTTCTGACATTATTTTTATTACTTTACTTGCACTAGAACGCTGATATGTGGTTACGTCATTGTACGATATTTGATCTTTTTGACCACTTCTTCTTTATTGTTGTCATGACGCACGGTCAAGAAAACAACAACAAAAATAATCGTGATTTTAAGTATTCGAATGCCACCATTACAGTCCTACGAACGCCATTGTTTATTAGACAAAACTCTACTACCAACAGCACGCGGCAAAATCACCAAAGTGTTTGTTTACTTTTTTTACAACAAAAAATATGTTTCACACCTTTTAAGTGCAAAACAAACAACTTTTTGTTTATAGTTCATATAAAAAATATAAACACGATTAATTTTAATGTAAATATTCATTCATATAATCGCGAATTGATATTTAATTCACCTAAAAAAAATATTTTAACCATCAGAATATGATTAATGTTACATATATTATAAATTATCATTTATAATCAAATGCAGTTTAATATATTTCTACAAAATTATGATACCAACGTGAAGTCCAATTGGACACAAATCGTCATGGTTTCGTCACGTTGTGCTACCTGGGATTTGTGCAACGCCCTCTTTGGCGCTAATTTAAAATTATTTTTTCTACGACAACTAGGTATGTAAAAGTCACTTTTCATGATGGCATCGTTGCTTAGAAAATAAATCTTTTCATTGGCAACCCAAAACACGAATGTAAAGTGACATTTCTGTGTGAAAAGTGACAGGTCTGTGTGAAAAGAAATTGACAGCATCGTTTGACATTCAGCTGTCAAAAAAGTTTTTAGGTTATTTTGTTTTGTATTTAAAAATAATAAAAAATAAAAGGGTCGCAGAAAAAACATTGTGTTATACTTGTAAGAAAAGCTTTCTTCAAGCTCGTGTTAATGCACACTCGGCCTAACGGCCTCGTGGGCAACTTAAAAACTCGCATGAAAAAGTCGCTTTTCAACACTATTATCGTTGTTTTTTGAAAATGTGGGTTAATAAGCTAATCCACTAATTTCGATGTTCTGAATATAGTTAAGCCTCGAGGCAAAAGAACCTTTGCTGTGGTACAGAAAATGGACACTTTCTATATAATTCATCCCCCATTTTTATCATGTAAGGCAAGTAAAACAACAAATTAACAGGTATATCATTTTATCACAAATCTCATTATAATACAATAATATTTACAGATTTGCCTATACATAGATATACTAACTAAAGCTTGTGAATTAACCTAAAATAATAAATAAATAATCCGCAAAAATATAATAACAAAAACTTTTATTTGGCACATTATTGTCCTATTTTTTTTTGATTCCGCACAGCCAAAAAAGGCACTTTATATATATGGCAGAGAGCTAAATAAATGAATACTGAGATTCCAATTATTTTCATTGGCTAAAATATTATGAACTAAATATTTGTTTAATATTTATACAAAATATGAGATGTACTCGTGAGGCATCACGCCTCTACGTGGGTAAAAAGTGTGGTTAACCGAATAGTTGAGTAAATTTGCTATGTTTGAGGTGTATATGTCCGCAAACCTAAATAATCGTCTTGAAAAGTACGTCGGGTTGTGATATGTACGAAATACACTGCCGAACTGTTGATTAAACACATATTTTATGTCGTTTCTAAAAAAAAAAAAAATGTTAAAATCATGCGCAGTGGCTTTTAAGAAGATGTGCAATGGCTTTACCTCAGTTTATCACGTTCGTTCATCCACTTGGTCAAAATCATTTGTTGCTCGTCGTTTTCACAGTCTTGATTATCCTCAATCAGTTGGGTTAACATTTGTAGCCAATTAGCGTTTTTCTTGAAGTCCACATTGTTTAATGTGGCAATTTCGTGCTGAAAATATTTTTTAATTATGATTACATAAAGCATATGACAAAAATTACTGTTAATTCCGTTATTATAGCGCCGGTCCTCCAGCCATGTTCAAGGGTCACATCTGCAAGGTCACTGTAAGGGTGGTCACCAAAGTAAAGAACCTGATGACCCCGCCATCCTGTGAGGTCCTGCAATTGTTTTACAGTACCCTAAAATATTATTAGGTACTTGAATAATTTTTTATAGTACATATACAAAATGTTTACTTCATAGTAAATAATCCCTTTTTCCAACTTGTTTACTTTGTCCCATATATGTGTCCCACTTTGCTCGTCAAAAACTCGAATGGGACGGGAAACGTCGGTGAAAAAACGGGGTTTTCTAGCTTGCACGATCAAAACATCGAAATAATCCTTCCAATCACTTCCCAAGAGGAAAGTCATGCCTTTATTGCTAAAAAAATTTTACATTGTCAAAATTAACATAGATATATTAAATATACTTACACAAATTTGTAGGGACTATTGGTAACCAAAAACATCTTTTTGCCAGCTTTTTTGAGCCTGTCAAAAAACGGCCTTAACTGCGAGTTGGGTTCAATGTAATCAGATACATTTTGGGACACTTGTATGTGCATTTTAGGGTGGGACAATTTCACGGAATTCTAAAAAAATCAATATTCATCAAAGAATTTAACATGTTCTTTTTTTACCTTGACGTCCCTAAATAAAATTTCCGGGTGATAATCAATATGGTTTCTTTCGAAATAATCGGCAACATTGCATAGAAGTCCCATTTCCGGGACCGAAAATAAGTCGGCCAATTGCACCATTTTCGTGTGATTTGGGTTCTGCAATGTTAACTATAAAAAGTGGGACCAAAAAATTGATTAAAATAGAGGAAATAAAGAGTTTTATAAGCCTTCACAAAGAACAATAGGTTAGTCAGAAAATTCGGCAGTTAGAAAATCCAAGGCCATAAAAAAGGACTACACAGACCAGACTAGACAGGCCTGTCAAATTTTAAAGGTCATCTAGTCTTGTTATTTTATATAAACAAATGTTTTTAATTGTTTAAAACAAATTGTAAATCATGCAAAACAGTAGTGCAAAAAAGTTTGGATACTGTACAATTGTACAATTATAAAAACCCATGCAATATTTATATTATGAATAAACACCACAACCCTTGTTAATCTGAAAAAAAAATCATGTAATAGTATTACCGAAGCATTCTTGGTGTGTCCTTCAACATAGGCTATAGGTATAATACGATTCTTATATAACCTCAAGACTTGCTCATTACTTAAAGGCGTCAATCCTCTGTATACAGAGCCGAACTGTATTTGCAAAAAAGAGTCGAGTTTTAGTAGGACCCCCTTTTCAATGTCGTAGTGTAGCCCTCGGACAGCAAATCTAGGTTTGTACTCGAGCTTGCCGATTTCTTCAGGATACTATGTGAATATTTACATCAGTAGTGATTTGGATTGTATGATAAAACTAGCTTACTTTAAATTGTTCAATAAGAGTTTGTCTACCTAAGTTATAGAGCAAGTAATCCATCGACGGTTTGTAGCATGCCAGTGTGTAATCATAGTCAAAACCATACACTTTGACTTCCTTCAAGTCCAACTCATTGCAAGCAAATACCGCTTTCGGGTTCACATCTTTCGGCAATTTTTTAGCTAAAAAATCACCACGTTAATACAACAAGAATATATAGGTACCATACATACAGTGACATTTGTGTTTTACAGCCTTGTAAGCTTCTTCCAGCCCGTTTGTTGAATGAAACTTCACTTGGCAGTTTATTTTCGAGCATGTTACTTTCTCGATCAGGCCTGTTATTTTCGAAAACCTCACTTTTTCCACGATTCTTTTGCTCAGCAACATTGCACTCACTGCACGACGAATTGGCGTATTTCAGGCGGCATGTGCAGCCCTGTTGCCAAGTTTCACCATTCAAATTAATCAGCAGTTTAGATATCATATATTTTATTTAAAAATCTAGCTGCTACTTTGATATGCACGCTTCAAATTTCCTTATTTTAGCTTGATTTAGATTGTCATTCTTTTAGCCTTGTCGTCATTTCAACATTAGCTTAATTATTCCAGCTTGTTCTCATTTTAGCTTGTCGTTACCTACCTAACTTTTGGTAATGTTATTATATTATAAAATAAACAGGGTAAATCGTGCTAAAGTAAATTGTAAAAAAGCATCAAATAAAAAATTCTTAAAATTTAAATCATAAAACAATGTACCTAACACAATCCATTGTGGTACCTAATATAAAATGTAAAAATATGCAGTTATTAGCATTTGACAACGCTGTTTAAAAGGAAGTATTTATAAATTTATAAAATAATTGATTTGAAAAAGGGTCTAAATCAAAAACAATTAAATCGTGTCAGTTTTTATTAAATAATAAAACATAACAATTCATCGTATTATATAATATATATTTATATTTGCATATATTTTTAAGTGGTTTAATAATAAAGTAGGTAGGTATTTATTGTTATTATTTTATGTTTTAGTTTATATACAGGGCATTTTTATCTTTATTGTATTTTTCGTGTAATTTTAACTTCTAATAAAAACGGAAACTTGTTTATTGATGTCATGTGAAATTTAATGCCTAAAGACGGTTACACAAACTTTTCTCAACATTACAATGGATATGGACCTGTGGATACCCAGCTATATACGAGGTGTGTTCAGAAAATAACGGGAGTCCAGTTGTCATAAAATTGTCTTTATTATGTTGGTATACATACCCCTGAACAATGATAAAATTTTAGATGTTTTCATTGTTAACTTTGTCTGTGGCAGCCGCTAAGGTTAGACGTGTTTTTATGAGCTCGGCGATTTTAGTTCGTTAAAAGAAATGGATCAAAGAATTTGTTTCAAATTTTGCGTAAAAAAATAAAATAAAGTGTGTGAAATGTTAACAAAGGCCTATCTGCTATGAGTAAAACAAGAGGTTATAAGTGATATAAGAGTTTCCAAGATGGCCGTAAAGACGTTGAAGATTACGAACGCCCCGGACGCCCAAGCTTATTAACAACCGATAAAAACATGGAAAAAGTGGAAGAAATGGTTATGAACGATCACCGAATCACAATCAGAGAAGTCGCTGTTGATGTTGGCATATCGATTGGCTTATACTTACCATGAAATTTTTTCGATTGTTTTGGGTATGAAACGCGTGGCAGCAAAATTTGTTAAGAAATTGTTGAATCTTAAACACAATTTTTTGCCAAAAACAAGGCGACAACTTTAATGTAGACGAATAAATAAATATTTTTTTTCAAAAAACGAAAATTCCCGTTTTTTCTGAACACACCTCGTAGTTCTTATCTGGAATAGATATTTTGTTATAGTTTTAATTGATTGACATCTTTTATTAAAATTCAATTCTTATGCCGATTTTTTCATTCCAAATCACAGATTTTCTAAATCATCAAGTAATTACTTAAGTTTCCCAAAACTTGTTTTGGGGTACTCTGAGTTGCCTACGGTCAGTAAAAAATTGTCTACAACTAATGTCGTAAGGCAGATTTAAACCTAGGCAAAACCAGGGGTTTAAAAGTAATATATATGCGGTTTTTTTATCTAAAATCGAAATCCACACGGATGTACATTCTTATAAGGAAAAACTTTTATATTATTAGAAACGGCGTAGAGTAAAAATCGTAATAGCAAAATGTAATTAAATGTTTTCTAACGCGCGATTTTACTTCAATTTATTTGCGGCAAATAACAACATTAATTAAAAATCATTTGTTTAGTCCGGCATTTGTTTTTTTTCGCAATTTAATTAAGGGAAAATCTAATGGTATACCTATAGGTAGGTACAACTTGAAAAAATGTGACCCAGTAAAAATTTAATTGTAGGTACATTAAAAAAAGTCATACAAATCTCATTTTAAAGATGTGTTGGGTAACATGTGTGGACTTAATTACGTATTAATAAACATAAATTATAACAGAAAACTAAATCAAAAAAGGAAATACGAAAGCGTAATAACACGTTTGACGGACTAGATAAAAACCGACGCTATTAGATTTTTTCTGTTCAAAAATTTATACAACGCATGGTACTGTGACAATTAGAGTCCGGAAAATAGACTTTTCCGGATGTGTGCACCGAAAAACCTGTATTTTCATCGTACCCCTCTAAAAACAACACAAAAAGTCAATTTTTTGCTGCTCAAAATACAGCCTGTATTTTTATATCTATTAATTAAAGTTATAAAGCGGATATCACTTAAACAAAATGTATGTTCGCACCGCGACCAATTTTAAGAAAATATCTTGTGTTCCGTTGACCTAGATAACGTAACAGATGCGTATAGCTAAATTATTATTATTATTCACGTTTACTTACATATGTTTTACACGAATTCAAATATTGCCGACGATAGTGCTGCCCCCCTTCGCGCCACCCCGACCAACTGCCATGGCCGTGACTTTAACCTACCACGACCTTGACTAGTCACTAGATGTATACACGATTCCACAATACTCAATTTTGTTATAGTTTGGGCACATCTTTGGATTGTGAGTTTTCTTTCTTTTATTAGAATCTTATTTTTGAACCAACTTATATTATTTATTATTTCGAAAATAATATTCTAAGATTTGGAGATCTTGGAGGCCAATTTCTTACGACAATGGTAGATCAATTTTAAATTTTGATTTATCTGAAAAACTTGCTTTAATGGCCACATATGCATATACATACATGTTTATAGTAGTTTATAGTTGTTGTAGACTTAATTAATGCCTTATTACTAACTGGAGCAGCAAATAGCCGAGGAGCGTAATTACAGGCGAAACAAAACATTAATATTTCTTAAAAATGCTTAAAAAGTAGGTAACCAATGCCATATGGAAAAAACATACTCGAAATGTCTTATTGTTTTAACGAAAAAGAAACCACTTATTAATTATGCTTTGGGAAGATATTCCTTTGTTTCTAATTAAAACGAAATTAAGAAAGTACCTGCTTTGAATTTGATTAAAAATATACCGTTAGACCAGCAAAAATTATTCTCTGTAAGAGAAAACACCCTTAAATGGGGTGGTAATGGCAACGCTTCTGTAGTCATAGCGACCAAATAAACAATAATACCTACTCATTAATCGCAAAATTGATTTTGTATTTATCACAGTTGTAATTAATTTTGAAGTACGTAAGGTTTTAGTAATTATTATTTTGTCCGTTTATTTTAATAAACACTGCGCAAGTCGAAAATTCCGTATTCCATAACTAATATTTAGCTTAATTTTTTTTATAAAATATCACGTTGTCATCATACCTACACTGAAAAAAAAAATCATGTAAATTTCCGGTAATGGAGATTGGTTATTTTGATGCCTTGTTGATAACTGAAATATTCCATTTCATTATTATTTTACATGCAAAATGTAATAGCATAATTGACGTGTAACTCATTTATATTTTTTATGTAAAATATCATACCTACTCATTTTGTAAAGTTAATTCACTGATTTTATTTTTGCATTTTTTCTAATTTTTTCTCATTTGTTTGTCAGTCTGTCTGCAAATTACAAATTTTGCAATCAATTTTAAATAGAGATGGGAATCGGAAAGTTTCCATTTTAAGGAAACTTTCCGTTTTGGAAAGTTTCCAATTGGGAATTTATTTTCATTTTGAAAGTTTCTTTTAAGCTACCGGAAACATTCCTTGGAAACATTCCTTGGAAACTTTCCTTGTTTTTTTCATTTAAATGTCATTGTTTAACCGCTGATTTTCGTTAAGGCCATGATACAAGGCGAAGAAACTTTGAATAAGAATTTAATTTGTGTTAATTTAAAGCAGAAGAAGAAGTATAAATAATGTAAGTTATGTTACATAACCTCAATGAAGCCGGATTATTCAGCATCAACACAAAAAACTTTTTTAAAAAAAAGGTAAACAAAATAAATACAATAAACAAAGTTAAAATCATTCTTACATTTTTGTTGTTTATTTATAAGCATAGCACAATACCAAGAGAAAAATCTAGTGTTTGGAATTATTACAAAATAGTGCAAAAAAACAAAAAAGACCATGCTCAAAGCAAGTTCTGTAAGAAAATCTATGTCGTTAATGCAACCAAAAATTTGACAAAAAGTTAATGTGTTATATATTTTTACAAATCCCTGGCATAAAAAAAAAATATTTTCGCAATAAAAAAATTTTTTTTGAAACTTTCGAAAAATTTCGGGAATTTTCGATGGAAAGTTTCCGGGAATTTTCGTCAAATGGGAATTTTCCCATCTCTAATTTTAAACCAACTTTAAAAATAGCTCAGAACTGGAAAAGGTGAGTGACGTCACACTAAATCCAATATGGCGGCCGGCCCATTTTTCACAACCTTCTTGACATGGGTATCAAATAAAAGGGTTTGACAAGTAGAAAACGATAAGATAAGTGACGTCATACTAAATACAATATGGCGGTCGCCCCAAGATGGCGGATTGCCCATTTCTCCACAACCTACTTGAGATGGGTATCAAATGAAAGGGTTTTTCGAACATAATACGTGACGTCAAACTAATTTTAATATAAAGAATGTAAATTTTAAGACTAAAAAGTAAAAAATAAATAACACGCATTAATTTATAATAATAGCACATATTTTGAGTAAATTAAATTATTTTGTACTTTTTAATGCGTTAAACGGATTGTTAGTTTTTTTAAACCATTTATTTTAAGAGCTTTTCTAATTTTGGGTTAAAAAATAGTTTGTGGTGGCCAGTTAACTTTACAAAATGATTATTATCATCTAATTTGTCATACCATTCCATTGCATGGAATACGTAAAAAAATTTAAAACTACCAGTGTTACCTGCTACCAGTCTATATGAAGTAAACGCTCTATTTATTTAATTAATAATTTATTTATTCTAAACCGTAACAAATTAGGTGTACAATGCATAATTT